GGATAGCGGTATAAGGCAGTACCTGTCAATACAGGACCGGATAGCGGTATAAGGCAGTACCTGTCAATACAGGACCGGACAGCGGTGTGTGGCAGCACCTGTCAATACAGGACCGGACAGCGGTTGTGGCAGTACCTGTCAATACAGGGCCGCCGGTCAGCGGTGTGTGGCAGCACCTGTCAATACAGGACCCCCGGACAGCGGTGTGTGGCAGCACCTGTCAATACAGGGCCACCGGACAGCGGTGTGTGGCAGCACCTGTCAATACAGGACCCCGGACAGCGATGTGTGGCAGCACCTGTCAATACAGGACCCCGGACAGCGGTGTGTGGCAGCACCTGTCAATACAGGACCCCAGACAGCGGTGTGTGGCAGCACCTGTCAATACAGGACCCCGGACAGCGGTGTGTGGCAGCACCTGTCAATACAGGACCGGTCAGCGGTGTGTGGCAGCACCTGTCAATACAGGACCGGACAGCGGTGTGTGGCAGCACCTGTCAATACAGGGCCGGCGCCGCTGACGTCTCTCCCTGCCACAGCCACTACATGATTATCCTCTTAGCGTAATTAAATAGGGCCGCCGTACAGCGGGTGCCGTTGGCCGGCGAATTAGTCTCTGTCTGTCTGTGTCTGTCCTATCGTGTCATCAACCGCCACCCGGCACGGCCTGGCCACATTGCTCACATGTTGTCCGAGGCCAGTGAATTAGTTCCGCTGCCGGTCGGGGGCGTGTAGTGTGCCGGTAATCTAGGAAAGTCACTGCCAAAAATACAGCTGGGATGTGACTCAGTATATGGGGAGGAGATTATTCGTTCTGGATAAATAGGAAGATAGATTACCAGCTGATTTTCATGGTTACATATCGACGCCGGATAGGTATTTAAATAATAGTCTTATGTGTAATAATGCCTGTTATTCTCAAGTCACAAAGGGAAAAGCGAAACCCTTGATATGAAAAAGAAGACATGGATGAGATAGCAATCCAACCACCGTCATAGTTTGGTCAAGCAATGGCCCGATCAGATCCAACAAAACAGGGCCAGGGTTGTCTCGAGGGATGTCTTAGACAGGGCCGTAAGATGTGCCGGACAGAGTCGTGAGACAATGTCCGGACAGAGTCGTGAGACAATGTGCCGGACAGGGCCGTTAGATGTGCCGGACAGAGTCGTGAGACAATGTCCGGACAGAGTCGCAAGAAGATGTTCGGACAGAGCCGTGGGATGTCCTGGACAGGACCGTGGGATGTCCCAGACAGAGCCGTGGGATGTCCCGGTCAGAGCCGTGGGATGTCCCGGTCAGAGCCGTGGGATGTCCCGGACAGGACCGTGGGATGTCCCAGACAGGAGTGATAGGGTTTTCCCGGACAGGGCCGTGGGATGTCCCGCACAGACTGCCTGATGTCCGGGACGGTAGACAGGGATGTCCCGGACAGGGCCGTGGGATGTCCCGGACAGGCTGCCTGATGTCCCGGACGGTAGACAGGGATGTCCCGGACAGGGGTGACAGGGATGTCCCGGACAGAGCCGTGGGATGTCCCGGACAGGGCCGTGGGATGTCCCGGACAGGGCCGTGGGATGTCCCGGACAGGGCCGTGGGATGTCCCGGACAGGGCCGTGGGATGTCCCGGACAGGGCCGTGGGATGTCCCGGACAGGCTGCCTGATGTCCCGGACGGTAGACAGGGATGTCCCGGACAGGGGTGACAGGCCCCACATTCCGTTCAGCGCCTTCAGTGTCGGTGCGCGTGCCGGAGCCGGTGCTGCCTAATTTGACAGCACCCTCCTCTCTCCGACACGAGTGCGGGGCCGCTCCCCGTCTCGGCTCTTCCGCGGCGCGCGCTATTTAGTAGTTATGACAGCCGAGCGGTCTCGGCGCCGACTGGCGGCCCTAATTGGTCCGGGGGTCCGCCGGGAGCCGGCCGGGGTGGTCCGCAGAGGACAGCTGGCCGCCGGCCCCCGCCCTGCCCCTCCGCCCCCGCGGCACCCCTCCGCTGATGGCTACCTAGCTGCCTGTGACCAACGAGAATAACACGGAATGACGAGGCAAGGAGAAGGAGATAATAGTCATTGATCGTATCCCTTCTGTCGTATCCGAGAGCAGCTCATTGTGCGCCGCATGATACAGAGCCACCAATTGTATTGTTAGCTTATTAAGTGCACGGCAAGGGCTGCAATTATTCTGGCAAGCGTGAAACTCTGTATATCATTCGTGATTTATTTCGGCATGCAGGATGAGCCGCCGGCTGTGAATAATTTCGTCTTCATTGCATGTTCTCGAGCTCTATAGGAGCCGGCCGTCTATTGGCCAGGAATGTCCATGGCGGCCGGCCGGCTCAGCGGACGTTCATAAACGTCCCAAGGGCGCGGCTAATGTCTTCTTTGCAGCCGGGCCGCCGCACCGGCCTCAGACAGCACGACCGAAAGCGTCACGGACAGACGCGGAAAGGCCACGGCGGTAGTCCGTGGACAAAAATAGCTTAACCGAGGACATATTGACCAAGTGCGGTTTTTTATATCTTCCTCGGGTAAATGACTATGTTTCATTTGTAGCTTCGGGCTACACTGAGGTGAAAAATTATCAAAAACAATTATTCCGGCTTTATTAAGCTGCCTATGTTCATTGGTTTTTTAACAAGGCAAATACTCAACAAGGGGATAACCGATAACCTATCATAATACTGATCTAGAAACAGCCTTAAACTGTAACGTGAATAAGAATTGAACCTGTTATACAATAAGTTCTGACATCTGTCACATTTCAAAACATTCCGTTAATCATTCCGGAACATAAGATAATAATTACATGAGACAATGCAATAATTTAGGTCATTTCAGACAGTGACCTTGACCTTGAGTTTGACACCGTTCCGAACATGATCAGTGAACAAGGAAGCTCAATAAAACCAAAATATTTTTGTTTTTTAATGATTGTTCACCTCAGCGCAGCGCGACACTAAAAACGAAACATAGGAACATATTATCTTTCATTGGAGAGGCGTCGCGTGTCCAGTATTCCTGGCTCGTGTAGAGAAGGGCATGTTTCAAAGGTAACTTCAATGGTATATTCAGATTGTGCCTTCCAAGCAATAGGTATTGTATGATCATTAACTTAACCTTCACGGGCCCGGGGGGGGCGTTTTTCGCCCCCCCCCCCCTGGCGAATATTTGCGATAGCTCCCGAACGCTTAGGGATAGGAAAGCGAAACTTTCAGTACCTTTTTTCCCATCAATTTGACATCTTTTGAAGTAAAAAATTTGGACCTAGTCCCCTTGATGACGTCACAACGTCCATTTTTCCAGACCCCTGCACGGCAAACTTCGGCGTCACAGACGCAAACTTCAAATAGCTGCTAAAAATAGACTTTTAGAGATAAAGACAAATTACGAGCACGGTTGTGTAGCGTTTCACCTAGAGAAAAATAGAAAAAAATAGTTTTGGTGACCTGAGGTCAGAGGTCAGGTCAACGACCCCGAAATGTAATTTTAGTTTTCGCAAATAACTTCGACAAAAATGGTCCTAGAGCTACGGTAGTGGTAACCATCGCATTCGCCTTGTCAAACCGCGTCGAATGATATATATTTTGTTCGGAAAAGGTTAAGTTTTATGTTGACCTCATGTGACCTCGAATGACCTCTGGTTGACCTTGACACATGTAAGGTCGTTTAGGATGGATTCGTACCCGCTGATCACGAATCTGGCATCTATTTTCCTCTAAGCCTTCATTTAGAGCTTCCGGATGGCAAAATTGTTTAATTTATTATTATTAACTTGAATTAGTGAAATAGTCTCTAGCAGGGACACTCTTCTGTGACCTTGACCTTTGAGCAGCCTTATATCGTAAGATGAACCACAAATAGGGAACTGATAAGCCTCAAAACATTTCAAAACATCTTGGAAGTTAGCACGCAAGATGTGCGAAAAAGTGCCAAGTTTGAGGTCAATTTTGAGCGTGAATTTGACCTTGACCTTTGATTTCGAGCATATTTTCGAAATCCTCAGATTCTCTTCTTTCGTTTGACACCCAATTTTGCCGGTTTGATGCAGCCTGCCGTCCTCTAGAAGGCTTACTTTGAGATCCCTACACATTTGCCGGTTTTTGCCTTTGACCTTGACCTCTGACCTTGAAAATTGACCTGAGGTCAAAAATTTTAGGTGCTTTAGAATCGTCTCGTAAGGACCTTTCGTTTGGTATCGCTTTTGTTTCCGTAGCTCCCTTATTTACGGAGTTAGACAGGGGGGGCAAAAAACGCCCCCCCCCCCCCCCGGCTGCGGTGGTTGGGATTACCCCCCGGGCCCGGCCAGGTTAATTGATTGACTCAAACTACTAACGTTTTGCACACAATAGACATTACTTTACTTGTTGACGTTTTTTTTAAGAAATTGTTCGTCTAAGAGAAGTTTTATGAAATATTGTTATCACTGCCAGGAATATACCGTGCCGTCTGTCTCTGTTCTGTAGCGATATGTGTCGACTGTCCTGCTCCGCTATCGAGTGGGCGGTGCCGCGGGTCGGTCGGGAGAGTTGCTCGTCGCTCCGCCGCCTTCCACCGCTCCCCGGGCGGCTCCCCGGCGGCTCCCCGGCGGCCCGGTGTCGGGGCGGCGCCGCCGCTGACGGACTGTGACGGACTGTCATAGCTGTGACAGGTTCCGCCCCACCCTCCCCCTCCCCCATCGGTGGCCGACACTGCAGAGCGGCCGCTCCCCGCGCCGGCGGCGGAAGGGGGTCCGCGTGGGGCCGGGACCACCCGCGTCGTCCGTCCCCGGCTCGTTAGTGACACGCACACAGACAGACAGAGCGGCAGAGCGTCAGAGCGGCGGGCGCAGGTCGTAATTAGACACCGCGGCCGGCTAATGCGCGGCGATGGTCGGCCGATGAAGACGTCTCCGAGCCGCGACCACCCAGGAGCTCCTGACTAGGCTACCGATCGCTACGACAAGGGTCCAAAAACAGCCCGCCCCCGAGATCGCCGAGATCCGAGCCGCGCCGAAAACACACACAAGCTCCGACAGACACTCAGCTATAATCTTGGTAACATGTGTACACAAATTGAGAGCGTTTATATTACAATTCACACCAATGTCAGGAGCGGTCGGCTTCAGAGAGAGCGGCGGCACTGCAGGCTCCCGCCGGCTCCGCTCCACTGCAGTCGATGTATTCGGTACACTCGCACCCGGTCAGCTCTCGTAGGATTGCAGCCTGCTCTATACGTCAGTCCGCAGTCCGCTCGACGCGAAATAATATGATGACGTCGCACATAGCGCGCGCCTTTTCTGTCCCAATAGGTTCTACGGCCGCGTCTAGATCCCGGCCGGCGGTACACACATGTCCAGACCAGTCCCTCTCAGCGCAGACCGCGGCCGGCCGGCCGTGCATACACCCAGACCACTCCCACTGAAGGCAGGCTGCGCACCGAACCAGTCTCCACCTCAGCAGTCAATAAATAATTAAAACAATACCGCAATAACAATCAAAATGCACAGACTAGTGTGATGCTCCGGCGGCTACGCCTCTGCTACTGAACTAGCTCTCCCTACTGCGAGGCCCGTGGAGGACACCACGCCGCCGTCTGCGCCGCAGAGCCAGAGCTCTGACGAGCTGACTCTCCCATCCCTGTGGCGTCGGCGGCGACTGAGCCACTCTCCACGCCACTGAGGGCACCTCCGCCTGCGCCGACCTCCAGTCACACTGCTTTGGCAAGAGCTGCAGGTGGCGGCAGCGGCCACTCGACTATTCGATGGAGTCGAGTGTCGGTCGGCCGCCGCGCCGCAGCAGCGGTGGTTGACTCCCAGACGCCTCCCAGCCACCTGGCTGCAGCACGCCCTCTGCTAAATGAGCTCATCCTATCAGAATGCACGCGCATGTCCGAACTTTCGCGAGCGACTCTGAGCACTAACTGTAGCGGCGTCCAGTGCGACCGATGTTGAGCCTGACAAATACTGAGCCAGAACATTGGGTATCTAGTGAGAGTCGCTGCTTACATGAACCAGACCAGCTAAACCGTCCGACTGAATTCACATCCTAATGCCTTTCAGCCAGATACAGACTCGCACAGCGGGGGCGAACTCTATGAGAGTGAGACCACAGCCGCGCCTACGTGCGGCTGCCGAAGGCTGGCGCGGGTTCCGGCCGACGCCTCAGTCCTCGTCGTCAACGGGAACAGTGGCGTGGTTGTAGAGCCCCTCGGACATCAGCGAGAGCGCCAGCGGGTTCCGCAGGCCCATCGACTTCTTGATCTTGGCGCGCTTGTTCTGGAACCAGATTTTGATCTGGGACTCGTTGAGTCCGAGCTCGTTGGCCAGGTCCTGGCGGCGCTTCTCGGTGAGGTAGCGGTTCTCCTGGAACTCCACCTTGAGCCGCGCCAGCTGCTCGGACGTGAAGGCCGTGCGCGGCCGCTTCTCCTCGGGCGGCTTCCGCTTCTTGACCTTCCGCACCCGGGGACCTGCCGGCGCAGCACGCTGAGGTCAGGGCAGCGCAGAGCGGACGCGGGCGGGGGTCGGAGGTCAGGGCGGCGCAGGGTGGACGCGGGCGGGGGTCGGAGGTCAGGGCGGCGCAGGGTGGACGCGGGCGGGGGTCGGAGGTCAGGGCGGCGCAGGGTGGACGCGGGCGGGGGTCGCCGTACTTAAATCGGCCACTGGACGAGGATCTCCATTACATGTTAGGAGTTGGCCTTGAGAGGAGCACGAACAGGGGCATAGCTACAACAGTGTGACACCTTGTTGCGTTCCATTTAATGCTGGATGTTGAGGGAAAGTAGTTTCCTCACACTGTGAACATTAGGTACAAAAAAAACGAGAGAAGCTCGTGTTCCATTATGCTTTCGAATACGTGATACACTTGACATTTGCGACGGCAGCCTGATTGCCGACATGCGATGTTCGGCTGGCGTGTGGCGTAGCGCCGGCGCCGTACCCCCGCTCATTAGCGCTGGAAAGGTCGACTCGTCCGGAGTAAATCATCAGCCGTGACGGACGGCCTGTGTCACGGCCGGCGCGTGCTCGTTTGGGAGACACCGGCATGAAATGTCATCGACGGCCCGGGCCCGGGCTGAATCGGCTCACCGAGCACACAGACTGCATAGCATTGTAGGTACCTAATGTATGAATGAATGTATGAATGTGTATGCTGTACAGTGTACAGTGTTATGTGTGCTCTCGTGGTAAGGAAAGTGAAACGGGCTTCCAACATACCGCGACAGACCCGAAGAAGCAGCATTCGTGGGTGCAGCAATCAGCGCACTATATCCCAGTTGCAGTCACCAGCCGTCTCATCCCGTTGCTAATGAGCAACTGGACAGCTAATGGATTGTGGGCTAATTTATTTCTAAATTCATCACTAGAATCGCTGATAATGAACGCCTGTACATGCAATTTGCCACTTAACTATGGGCGCCATTGAGGATTAGATAACTACCGATGAATTAAAAAAAGCAGAGCTGCAGCACTGCAACCGCTCCACTGTCCCAGAATAAGATGTTGGACGTTAAGCCGAAGACCAGAATCAGATGTTGGACGTGAAGCCAAAGAGGGCAGTTTTGTTCAGCTGCTGCGTATGGTTCGCCATTATCCTACCTTCACCCGTTCAAGAGCACTTCATGGGCCGGATAAATCCGTTATCCACGGATAAATCCGCGGACCGGATAGGATTGGATTCTAAATTTGTTAAAAAAGAACGGATATGGGCGGGCCGGATTTGGGAATTGAAGGTTGAACCCGGATCAAAACGGATCAAAATTTTAACATTCAACATTGAAGTTAAAAATTAACCTAATGTGTTAAGCGGCAGCAGAGGTTTGATTTAAGTAATAGGCATCATTTTATGACACTCACTTGTCACAAGACGTGTCTTCAAGTGGATAATGTATGCAATGTATGCATGGTTTTTGGAACCATGATGGTCTATGAGATGTATGGCTGTCTGGTCCCTTAGATTGAATTTGTTAGTCCAGTTTTGGGTGAAACCAGTTATTGGTGAAACGGATTATTACGGATATTTTTTGGAAGTTTGGCTGCAATACGGGCCATGGGTGGGCCGGATTCTGATATTCAAAGAAAGGCGGATAATGGGCGGATCTGGATATGACTTGCCGGATATGGGCCGGGCCGGATCCTAAAAAGCCTATCCGTGAAGTGCTCTAACCCGTTGGTCACTGATTCGAGCTGCAAGTCATTTGTTTGGAATCACGCACGGCCCCCGTGATTGCGGTGTTCGTTTCGATTGGAAATCGAGTTCCCTCCGGTTTGTCCCTCCGATTCAGGTCAGCTGAGCCCCCACTGCGAGTCTCTTCTCCTGTCCTGTCCATTTCTTCCTCTCCTCTTATCTCACCTCCTCCCAGCCACACCCCTAGCCTTCCCCAGCCTCCCCTAGCCTCCCCTAGCCTCCTCTTAGCCTCCCCCAGCCTCCTCTTAGCCTCCCTCTCCCTCCTTCGGCCTCCTCCCAGCCTTCCAGCCTCCCCGCCCTCCCCGCCCTCCCTCGGCCTCCCCGCGCTCCGCCGCACCGCCGCGCCGCTCCGGCCGGCCGATCTCATTAGGCGATAGGTGCCGGCTCGCCGGTCGGCCGGCGGCGGCGCCCGAGGCGCCCCACCTGGAGCCGAGCCCGGCGCTGCAAATTACGCCGAGCGACCACCGGCCAATCAGTGCGGCCGCCGAGAGCGCGCGCAAATGGCCGGCCGGCCGCGCGACCCCGCCGGGGGCACAGCCCGGCCGGCCGCCGCCGCCGCGGACAGCGGTGCTGGGGAACGGAGCGCCATACCCGCCGGCCTAGTGGTGCAGTGTGCCCAGCTCCTAGCCAGGCCTTTCTTAGCCGCATACTTCACTTTCAGGACTGACACAGCCTGCCAAAGTTTGCAGGCACTGATTCAATCGGGAGAAAACCCTGCTGCAAATTAATCGGTTCAGCTGTAATAGCTTCACGCTGGCGGAGTCGCTGCCTTCCCAAGCTCACGCCATTCCGCGCCGCCACGCTCGAGCAGCGCCTCTCTCTTCGCCAACACACCGGCGGAAATTGGCTCTGTCTACGGCGCCGCGACGGCGGAAGTGGCGTGAACGATTCGTCGGCACGGCGCGCCGCCGACGCCTCGGCCGCGCCGCGGCTGCCGCCGTGACGTTCTCTAATCAGCACCTATAAAGAATTGAGGAGGCGCGGCGGGAGTGAGCTCGGCCGGGCCGGCCACCGCGCCGGCCGCCGACAATGCACCGGCTGCGCAGCCATTACGGCAGACAGCGGGCCGGGCCCAAATCAATTACAGACGGCGACGTAAGCGGCGCGGCTAATCTGCGGCAAAGTGGCGCCGCAGTACATCGGTCAGCGGCCGCCGACGGCCGTGGGACGCGCTGCAGCCGATAGACACATGTGCTATTGTACGAGCACATACAACTGGGCGGCGCACCGGTCGCCGGCGCGCGGCAGAGGGCTAAGATAATGTATGTATACGGCGATTCTGCTGGCTGCTGGCGGCGCAGGTTCCGAGGCCGCCTCCACTCCCCGTCTGGCCGAGCCCTGTGAACCGAGCCATGCGCCTGGCGCGACATCCTGTAACTCTGGACTTTTGCAGGTAATCGAGCCGGATTACAGGCCACTCGACACAACAAACACGCGTCTCTACAAGGCTCACCTGGAGACTCGTGCTGGAGTGCCTGCTAAGCTCTCAGGGCTCCGGTTATTTGTTCCCGGGTGTTCCCACGGAACGCATAGCTTGCGGGCGCGGCTAGTGATGCAAGGTCTTCAAACCCCTACTCCTTGTATTGGGGGAGAAGGCATGATATAGGTTGTAACACCGGTAGAATACTATATGTAGAAATATTTATTATTTTCCATTAATGCACATGAAGGTCTTATTGGTATTCCTCACTGGTAAGATAACGAGCAAGGTTTTACATGGTTTTCCCATGCAAACACCCGACGCAAATGGTAATAATGATCGTTCAATTCCAGTCTAGCGGGCACGGACCGTGAAACATAGCCTAAAAGTGATAACGGATCGAGTCAACATATGATAGGTGCTTTTCTGTGTACTCATGCGTCACAATTCGTTTCCAGCCTGTTGGTGCCGCGCGGGCGCTGGCGTCGTGCCTGCGCCTGTACGAGTAGTCGGCATCCCGCTACACCCAGACCACTCCGAACGCACCGAGAGCACAGCCATCACCGCAGCAATGCCGATCAATAGCCCATTCACCCGATTCAGACAATCAATAGCTCCGTGTATGGATCCGGACGCACCTGAACATAAGTTTTAGTCACAAGTCGATCCTGTGTGCAAAATTCCACACACAGACATAACAACTTCAAATGGCTGTATAACAAATGCACCATATCCCGAGCTCCGTATTATCGCCATTTTCGAATTACATGCGGCGGTCGCTCGGTGCCAGCAATGGCCGCCACGCAGCACTGTGGGCGGCTGGCTGTTTTTACCCGGGGCGCGGAACACAACAGGCCAGGGCACGACTTGTAATCAACACGTCTGGCGCGCCACTCGGACCGTGGCGTGTTTGTTTTTGTGAAACATGCCGGGCACCGCGCCCCGAGGCGAGGTTCGCTCTCCGCGCCGCTGACCCAGCACTGGGGTCTGGTCCCGGGGCCGCTGGCAGCAGTGAGGCCTGGTCTCCGCGCCGCTGACCCAGCAGTGGGGCCTGGTCCCGGGGCCGCTGGCAGCAGTGAGGTCTGGTCTCCGCGCCGCTGACCCAGCAGTGGGGCCTGGTCCAGGGGCCGCTGGCAGCAGTGGGGTCTGGTCCCGGGTCCCCGGGCCGCTGACAGCAGTGGGCCGTGGGGTCTGACCCAGCAGTGGGGCCTGGTCCCTAGGATCTTGCAGCAGTGGGGCCTGGTCCCTGGGCTCTTACAGCAGTGGGGCCTGGTCCCGGGGCTCTTACAACTCAGTGGGGCCTGGTCCCTGGGCTCTTACAGCTCATAGTGCCACTTTGCCAGTGGGCGTCGAGGACTACACGAGCTGGGACCTGTTCAGTCCCGCCGTTTGATTAGAACGTGAAAAATGAAACTGGAATAACTAGACTGATCTAATTTCAATAAAATCATCTGTCAAAGTACCAAATAGCTGCAGACAGCAGACTGGTGACTGTAGCGCGCTGGATTAGCTGGTTCCTACTTTCTACACTTCCTATATCCTCAGCTGGACTCGGAGCACTGCGAAGCGTCAGAACGCCCCCAAACCGAGCCACTGAGGGCCAGCACTGTGCGGTGGTCAGCCCATTAGCCAGCCTGCCGTACATAAGGCTATTTTCCTAACGTCGCGTGTTGGTCCGGCCCTGGTGAAAAATTGTTTCTCATTCATACTATGTCATGCTGCATATATCAGGCCGGAGCCCGCAATTGAGCGCCTCGGAGAACATTAAGACAGCGTCCCGACGCCCCCAGTCGCGCGACCCTGATGGGGATATCATGCACTGGCACATAATCTCTCTTGGAACGTGCAAATTCCACGCGAAT